CACCCCGGGAGGCAGGGGGGATGCCCCCTGGATCTGCTTGGGGCGGGTGGGTGAATGGGCTGATACCGGCACTGTGCAGTGTTCTTCTTGGCAGGGGCTGGGCTCGGAGTGGGAATCAGTAGCGCTGGGAGGGGCTGCAGCTACCCCAAATTTCACCACTGGTCTGCTCCCAGCCACACATCGCCAGGCACAGCCCAGCTCCATGTCCCACCTCCACCCATGCGCTGGGAAGAGCCAAGGCTGTGTTTGGTGGCTGGCAGTAGCAGTGGTGCTGGGACTGGAGCTGCAGCAAAATTTGGGGTGGCTGCAGCCCCTCCCAGTGCCACTGGTGCCAGCTCCAGGCTGGACGGGCTGCAGCCTGCCTGTCCACCCTGAGCAGATCTGGGAGGCACACCCCCCCAACCCTCCCGGGGTGCAAGCAGCAGTGGGAACCACCTCTGTCCTGCACCCTCACCCCACCTAGACAGCACCTGCCCCTGTCCCCTCCCTCACTGTGGGAGCCATTGATCTGCCCCGCATGCCCCTTCTGTCCCCCCTCCCCTTCCACCACAACAGACTTACCACCTGGAGGCAGCTGTATCCAATATTGAATCGGTATTGGCTGATATGCCTCCTTAAATATCGGCTATCGTATTGGCCCCCAAAATCTTTAATGGTGCGCCCCTAGTTTTTAACCTCTTTCAGAAATACATACAGTATAGAAACACATGTGCACATACACAGAGAGATGAAGAGGGAAGCATTAGGAATAAAAATAATAAATTCCAGCAATTTAAGAGTTAAGCTGTTGGAATAGTTACCAGACACTATTGCTGTAGAAATGATGAAGCTGAGATTTAGGGGTTGTTGAAAGAATTGTGATTCTGAATGGCCAAATACACATTAGTGCCCCTACCTTGACACAAATAAACCACAGCTGCCTGGACAGCGTAATTCCCTTTGGCTTGAAACTGTATATGTTATTCAGGAGGCACTCTGAGAATAGAAGTAGCCCAATGAGAGAGTCACAGAGAAGACAGGGATTGAGAGCTGACCCAGCAAATAGTCAGACTACCCCTTACTGCCTGTGCAGGAAAGCTGAGGTAGCGAACACCTCTAGTAAAGGTACCTTCCATGAAAATGGATTTAAGACTCGAGCCTGTTCTCATAAAAATTGGAACAAAAACAATATCAAGTGCTCGGATACCCCAGAGATAGTAACAGTGTAAGGATCTTCACAGAACAGAGCTGTCACTGACTCACAGGAAAGCAGGGTTTGCCCCATTGTTTAGTGGTAGTAGGGTGGAGTATTGATTATCTGTACTTATTCAGGCCCACTCCTCAGCCTTTAATATATAATCTTCAGTTTTTCCAAGATCTAAAGCTACTGAATTTCTCAAGTGTACATTCAGTGCTCCCCTAAGGTACTCTTTTCTTTGCCATTACATTATTCAGAAGCACATGGAGTTCACTGCCAAGTACTTTTATACCAGGTATTTTTTATTCTGGCTTAGTCTTTGCGCCTCAAGGAACAGTTTATCACTTCCCTTTGTCCACTTGGAGAACTGCATTGTCTATACCAAATACTGTATGACAATGTACTGTCGGTAACATCAAAACTTAAACAAAGTGAATACCACTATTAAGTACTACGCTTGACCTTAGCTTCCAAAATAGATATCTTCTGGTTGACAAAGAGGACAAGGATCTTTTATATATGACTATTCAATTTGTGTGTGTTTCTTGAAAGGACTAACAACAATACCAATAAAAATAAATTGTAAGTATGATTTTATTATAGGAACAACTGAACCAAGACCACTAATTGATTATACATCAAATACTAAATATCTGTCAGATGACATAACAACCAGGGCCAGATTTGCACTAGTGATCTAGTAATTAAAGGCTCTTCAAGAGTGTACCTATACTCAAGTCAAGATGTGATTGCCACTCAGCTAGACATGCCTGAGCTAGCTAGCTTGGGTACTGTTAGTACCATAGCTGCTGCAGCATGAAAATGAATACAAGATGCAGGACCCACCTTAGAAGCCAGGTAAGTATTCAAGTGGATAGCCAAGGCTGACCTCTGTGCTGCCACAGCCATATTGTTACCACTACTTGAGCTAACTAATTTAAAGATAGGTGGCATAGGCCAGTCTAAATAGCAGTCCTATCTTTTTAACTTCAGTAAAAACATACCCCAAGTCTCTGGAGTTATTTGGTTCTAGGCTTGAACTTACCCTAATGCATTGAGTGTGCTAAATATGTTGAATTGCAAAGCTCGACTGTGTATCATAAGATTTATTTATCAGTGGGTACCTCTACATATTCATTAATGTGCAGTATTTATTGCACATTTAATTTAGTATTTGTTTAATGAAGTACTAATTAAATGTGAAGTTACTAGAGTTACTGCGCAGTAGCACCAGCACGTTTTTTTAGTGATGCTTACTGTGCAGTAGCCTAATAGTACTTTGCAGTAGTGTATTAGCACAGTTTTTACCCAGCACACTACTGCACAGTGTTATTAGGCTACTGAGCATTAAGCGTCTCATGTAGACGTGGCCCAGTGTGTCAGACACACTGCACTAACAGTGAAGATTTTCCTTTGCTGCATGAAACCGGTAGATGTTTGTGGATAAGTGGCAGAGTTCTGTCTCCAGGGTTGTGTTTAAATTCCAAGACATCATGCAGGACGTTGCAGTGACACTGGCTGATGTTGTTATATTAATCACAATGAAGCAGTCATTGAATAAAATAAGCACCAAGATGGTTCTATGCAATTTGCAAAATATTGAAGGAGCCCTCTTCATAAGAGGGGCAAACATCACCTCTGCACAGTTCATCCAAACCAATAGCATCAGCTCTTGACTCTTGGAATAAGTCTCTGACAGGCAGATCTTATACAAGTCTCAATCTTGGAAAAGCAGTTGGGAAGGTTAAGAAACTGCACTAAATAGTTTGCTTTATGCAGAAGGACCCCAATGCATTTTATAAACTGCATGTAGGGTTTAATTATCCATTACTGGTATGCATCCAGTTCTAGGGTGGGATCCAGCAGCTGTTCTAGGTAGCAAATCTTTGACCATGAAGCACCTATCCATGTGCTACTTAGGAATTCTGGTTGAAGTTATGAAGTTGCTGAAGTGCTGAACATAGAGTATTAGTGTATATTGAACCCGCCATTTGTTGACAAGGTCTGAAACATGTCTATGCCAGGATATTTGTTTCTTAAGCCTTAACAGTGTACAATGCAGGTGGGATATGGTTTGACTGAATCTGGGAAAAAATAATTCTTCCCTTTTCTCTGCAGCATGAAGCAAGCAAAACACTTAAACACAGAGCAATGAAACCAAGTTGGTGAAGCTGCCCTTTGAAGTTGGAGAGACTTACATAGGTCAGAGGAACTCCCGGGGCTACACAGGAAATGTTGGGGAAGGAGACAGGAAGGGTGGAGCATACTTTCCTATCAGGGGTATCTGTGTTTAACTGTGGGACCAACTGAAGTCAGCTAGATGACCTAGAAAGGCTTGATGATTTTAAAGGCAAGCCATGATATTAACCCCAAACCAAAAAGCAACTCCAAAATGGTGATGAAAATGAAGCAGGGCTTATTGCTACGTTTGCTTATACGGGGTTTATTACTTGTATGGCTTATTGCTATACATTTGTCTATTTCCATTTAAGAAAAAGAAACAAGATTGTGTGCTTGTGTGTGGGGGGGGTTGAATCCTCTGTAGAGTCCACATCTATATGCCACCTCTCTGATATGCCTCCTGAAGAATTAAACTCTAAACCCAGAATGCCCTCAAGAGTTAGGGGGTCAGCATCAGTCTTGGGGTGCACAGTTGAGCACTCAGTGCATGATTGAGCATCATATTCATGAAAAAGTAACAAACTGAGCTCATGCCTAGGAAATGTGCCAGACTGGTCATGCCAGAAATTGTTCTGTGGCCCACTGAGGTCAAGGGAAACTTAAGACTTAAGACCACATGTGTCCAGTAGACTGAAACCTGGCACGACATCTTGGTGAGTATCCAGCTAAGACGCTCTCTACTACAGCTGTAGCAGATAAGCTCAAATCCAAACACTGTTGAATCTGGACAGGTGCAGCTCATACCTTTTTCCAATCTTGTGCCAACAACATAAATCCAGGTTTGCTTTATACAGGCAGAGATGTTACATGTGTTGCATGCTGTCTCAGAAGTAGCCCGTTGAATTCTAGAGACTCTGATTACGTGGGGAGGAGGGGAGAGGGGTGGGAAGAGAGAAGGGGAACAAGAGAAATGGGGGATGAGTTACATAGTCTGACTTTGCAGGGCCTGCACACTTTACATACGTTTGAAACAATATTTGCAGCTGTATGGTAACAATACAAACTGTGGCAGGGAAGAAGAGTGTGAGCTGCAACTCAGTTCCCTTGAGTGCTGTAAGTAGTGGTCAGGATTTACCACTCTGGTGCTAGCCAGTGGTAAACTAGTGACACAATTGTATTTCTGTTGGTAAGAAACTGTTGGGGCTATGGTTATATGGGATTACAGCAGTATCACTCATTCTTTAGTGAAAAGAAATCTAAACAATGCATTTTATTCAATACATAATTAGCTTGTGGAACCCATCAAAGCCAAGCATGCAGAAGTTAAAAAAAAGAGATATTTGTGTGAAAGAATGTTCACAATTACATTTAAGATGCTAAAATCTCTTTTTAGGAAAGATATAAATACATATGGCATAATCTAGACTTGTACTGATTGATGGGAGCTAGGAAGAAGGTTCTCTCAAAGGCATGTATGCCCGCCTGGTCTCCTGTAGGCATTCATGTGCCGCCTTGGCGTGTGCACCCAAGATTGACTGTGACGTGGGTGTTAGCCCTCCGTGAATGAGCCCACAGTCTCCCCGGGAAAAGCCCTGAGACTCACCTGCCATGACTTCAATGGTAATATCAGTGGTGGGCTTCCCCTCAATGGGCTCACTTGGACGGACTGTGACCCTCAGCGGGGCTCCGTGTGGCTCTGCCTCCCCTACACCCCATTCATACACCAGCCTTCACGATGACTGCTGCTGTTCCCCAGCTCACCTTGTGGTGTCGCCTCTCTCCTGTCGAGATGCTCCGGACTGCCTGATGGACCTCTGACTAGGTCTGGCTTTTGGCTGTCATCTACCACTGCTCTTCTTTCTTGGAGCATTGTCTTTGACTCCCCCAGCCCTTATTTCAGGGCCTTTCGGGGTGCCCCTGTCCTGGCCTCAGAGCCTCTTGGAGCTAGTCCTTATCAAAAGGGGTATCCAAAGACCCCTTCATAACTGGATGGATGAAAGGAAAATAGAAAGGAAAGAAAAAAAAAACAAGGCTTTCACCGTTGATCCAGGGCAGTCTGGTCTGCCCTTTTTCTTACAGTTTTCCGCATCCCTCAGTGTGTTCCCCTGTTCTTGCCTCTGCTGGAGGCTCTCTCTGGTGTCCCCACTCGGGATCTCTCAGCGTCCGCTGGTCTGGCACCTGCCTAGTGGGGGAAACACCTCCCGAGTCCTTCCCCTGTAGTGCTCCCTCTGCGTCTCCCTTGGCGCCAGCTTTTATCCTTGTTGGGCAGCCTCCAGGATGATGTCACCAGCTCATGCCAGCTCGAGACAGAAGTAGGCACGGCTCACAAACCACGTGTCCGCTCCTCCATTACCTGAAACAGGTAAGTCTGCCCTGGTCTCAGGGCTTTTTATGGTGGGGTGG